ATGTCATATGCTTTGAGTGATCCGAGTGGCAGCTGTTTTCAGCAGAAATGCCAACACACCCATGGGGACCATTGTTTTCAATGTGAAGAGCTTGGTACTGTTCTGGATGAGATTCAAGTGGCTGTTGAAGAAGCTTTTTTTCACACGAAAGATGATCATGACGAAGCCACATACTTGGTAAAGCACAGCAGGGACCTAATTCATGCCTGGAAGGCTCACCAGCTCCGTACAGTGAGGCAAGACCAGTCTAGATTGAAGATTCTCAGAGAGCTAGATAGTGGTTCAGTCTTTATTACCCAGGACTGGGCCATGAAATTTCTACCGCGCAAGTACCGTGAATCTCAATCTGACTGGTTTGGTAAGCGCGGTATCTCTTGGCATATATCCGTTGTCGTGCGCCGCCGAGCTGACCAGTTTGAGTCACAAGGATTTGTACATATTATCCAGAACTGCACCCAAGGAAGTTCCGCTGTGGTCTTCATTATGGCACATATCCTTAGAACTTTGAAATCAGAGCATCCAGAAATCAATCAAGCATTTTTTCTTCAAGACAACGCAGGGTGCTACCATAGCACTTATACTATATTGTCAGTGCCCACAATAGAAAAAGAAGCAGGAATTCGCGTTGCTGAGATAGGCTTCTCAGATCCCCAGGGCGGAAAAGGGCCTGCTGATCGCATGGTAGCAACAATTAAAGGACACATAACACGATTCATAAACGAGGGGAACAATGTTACCAATGTGAAGGAAATAGAAAACGCGATTCTATCCCATGGGGGTCTACCTGGGATTCGTGTAGTGATGTTAGACAGTCTCGGGGAACCCGAAACTGTTCCCGCAACGCAACAGACGATTACTGGCATAAGTAAACTGAACAACTTCAGATTTTATCCCGGTGGAATGAGGGTGTGGCAGGCATTTGATATAGGCCCCGGCAAATGCATTTCTTTGGAAGGAACAAATGGTAAACCTTGCGCTATATTCTCTATGCAGTTTCTAGTTATAATGTAGCATGATCTCTCTTTAGTTTTGAGACTGAAAAATTCAGCGAGGGAAAGCTTGAAATCAAGATCACTTGAAAATATCATGCTTGGCGCCAGTTTTTGTTGTAAAATTTATTTCAAGATTTGTTTTAGTTAGAACACTATACTGGAAAAAAAACTTTTACTTGATTTAGGTAGCAGCTCACATGCTGCACCTAACGCAGGGGCGGATCTAGGGGGAGGGTTCAGGGGGTGCGCACCCCCTCCCCCCCGAGATGACCTGCGGTTTTCTAATACAACTGGTATTCTGCAAAAAAAAACTATGTGGTTTATTGGTGTTGAAGAAGAGCAAGAGACGAGTGCACCCCCTCCTAAAAAAATCCTGGATCTGCCCGTGTAACGCTATTTTCGCAATGTGAGACGCACGAAATGTCGTTCTGGATAATGTTTAGGTATGTTTGGTTTTGTCGTTAATCTTTTCAGTCATGTTATTATTTTCCACAAAACGCCATTACCAGAATATTTCGGTTACTTTTTCCCTCGGAGAATTTAAGGAGATCGCCCCAAGGAGAAAACTTAAAGAACCTACTAAAACTTCCACAGCGGATCCCGCAGAAGAAGAGGACCATGGCCGTTAAGCAAAAAGCGATGATCAAGTGTTTCCATGTCCAAAAGAGGGCTGCACGCGCAGTTTCCAACGGCACTGTTCTCTAGAAAAGCATCTCGCATTCGGAACATGCACAAAGACGGTTGAAAGGGAGACACTTCTTGATAAAGCGAAGGTTAAATATGCTGCGAGGCTCTAGGAAGGTTCAAGTTCCGTGCCAACTATTCCTCTACCTTCTGAAACCTGCCCTCGTAACACTGGATATGTAACACCGCCTGAAGGCTTCGCTTTAAAACAAGTAAAGAAAGCTTACCGGTTTAACGAAAAGCAACGAGAGTATCTGACTGCTAGATTTACCATCGGACAAGAAAGCGGCAAGAAGGTCGACGCGGAAATTGTTGCAACAGAAATGAGAAGAGCAAAGGGATTGAACGGGGAGCGCTTGTTCAGTGTCTCTGAGTTTTTGACAACTCAACAAGTAGCTTCATTTTTTTCAAGAATGGCAGCAAAAGAGAAACAACAGACGGCCCCCTGCGCACAAGCTGTAACTGAGCAAGATCTGTTTGCTATGGAGGAAGAATTTAATTTATCAAATGCTAAGGAGTCTGTTTTTGAGCAGTTAAATGTAACTCATCCTATTCATTACCAACAGTACAACATCTGTTCCATGGTCAAGAATAGCACCCTCAAAAATCTCAAACTTGCAGTCTTAAAACTCCTTTGCGAGAGTTTCAATCTTGCATTACTATCTGGGGTTGATCAGAGAAAAAAGACCTCTTACATCGCTCTGCTCGAAGACCTTGTAAGATGCTGCTCTTGCAGTGCAGTTTAAAAGGCAAATAGCAAAAGGGTGTGTCAAAAAATTGAGTTTTATATGAACGTTGATATAAAACAGGGGCCGTATAGAACATATTTTGGATCGGAGGAGCTACTGTAGTTCCCGTGTAGTGTGAGCGCATTGGCGCCAACTTATCTATGAGGGTCCTAGGGCCTCCCCTCCGAGGAGAGGAGTCTGTCTCTTAATACGCCTTTCTTATTACAAAAGACTGCTGACAGGGTGTCTTGGGGTATGCTCCCTCGACAAATTTTGAAATCTAGAGCTTCTGAAATCACCAGAAACGCGTTTCAATCCTAAGAAAAATTAGTCTAATTTTTTAATACAAAGATTAAAATAAATAATAAGGATAAAAATGAGAATAATAAATTGTTGTTCGTGTGGCTGCAGCACACTCAACCCCATAGCTCCGCGGTCCCTTTGTTAAAGGCGCAAACCGGAAATGAAAAAGTCCCCTTCGAAGGATCAGGCCAGCTGGATGTTGTTCGATATAGACTCATAAAAGAATTTATACAAGCAATGTAAAACGAGATATATAGGACTGGATACTTTAAAATGGAGTTTGACGAAAGAAGGATTGTGTCCGCTTTCCTCGGCAACTTCACCTTTGATCCAACGTGACAATTGTCACGCAATTGAAACATTTTGCTTTTCCGCAAGACGGTTACGAGAAATGAAACAAAAAACTCATTGGCTTAAAGAAGAATTAAACTCTATTAAATACTCGTCATTATCCTTGTAAATTTTATGTTGTAGCCGTCAAAAGAGCCCTTCCTACACCAGAACTGTTAGGTGGTACGATTTCTACAACTGATTTGCATCATGCAAATTCCTGACCTTGGCCACAGTGCGTCGAAAACTCTTTCATTTTGCGGGCATGTTTCTGGATTACCCAGATTTTTTATTTCATATTATTTGACTATAAGGACCAAACTTTGTGCCAGCATGTAGTTTGACATGATGTCACACATACCAAGACGCGTTTTGAAGGCTTGAAGTTACTCGATTTTTCGCTTTTTGCAACAAGCGTTTGACAGCACTTTGTTGAAAAATCATGTGAATTTTAAAATTAAACCAAAGTTTCTTAAAATGCCACAAATAAAAATCAAATGAATTTTATTTTGAAGTAAAAGCACCCCCGATTTCTTACGAAACATCCTTCTTCAGTACTAGCACACTAAAGTTGGTCAATTTCACTGTATTTTTGCATAATTAATCAGGTAAAAACCCGAATTTTCGTTTTTCCCCATTTTCTCGGAAACATTTGATTTTTCAAACTTTGAAATATTTTTTTTGGAATGTATTTCCCTAAAAGGGTTTTCCAGGCAAATTATCAGAATTTTCGATTTTTTTAGCCTGGCCAGCGATTCTCGATATTTACAGTCATGGACTCTTAAATTTTCCAGGGTTTTTTCTTTGTCAGTGAGATTACGAGACATTTCTAGTGCTTCAAATTTTGAATTCGAAACTTAAAGCTATTTTAAATGAAGTGTGACCTGTGGCTAATCGTCTTCTGTCTATTTTTATTATCAGAGAGGTTGCAACGGGTGAAACTGAAATTCAAGAATTAACGGAAAAAGCGCCAGTGGAAATAGAACAGGAAAGTCAAAAAATAGGCTTATGTTTACTGCATGTTATGAACAACCCACTTTAAGTTATTCTTGCAAACAAGTTTTTTTGTCACTCATTAACTCCCTCCTATTGAATTATTGACTGTGTGTGGGCCTGTCTGCAATGAGGCTTAGGAATATTGATTTTTTTTCTTTAATATTTATGAGGTTTTTGGAACTTGACGGTCCAGGTAAACAAATAAAACGGACGAAAGTAAATAAAATACTTATGAAAGCAGTCGATATCAGTTATAAATCTATTCTCTCCAATTTTGAAGTTTCATTCACAAAACTACACACTTTCAAGTTATATATAGTAAAACGCCAAGTCGTGTTCATACCCATTTCATAGTCTGATTTATAACTTATTTTATTCATCTTGATTGACAAGTGCCCCGTTAAACGTAGAAGATCAGAAGAGCAGTTAAACAAGATTAAGACAAAGAAACAAAGAAAGTCGATCTCACTGTATAAACTTAAAGCTGTCAAGATGATTGGTGAGGGAGCGTTTGGAAAGGTGAGAGACTGTTATAAGGATCAAACAATAATCACAAACTATTCGTAATATTAATTTTCACAAAATTTAGGGTAACTTTCGGCGGATCACCGCCCTACAGTGGCGAGTATCTCGTGGTCAAAAACTAGCGATTTATCAATTAGTTAATTAATTAATTAAATAATTAATTATCTTTTTATTGATTTCAAAACTCCGTTAAAGTAGTTGAAAGGCTTTGTCTTCTTTCGTTTTTGTTAAGTGTACGCTCTTTTATTTACCAAGTAAGCGATCAAAGGTGAATATGATATACACACTGTGTAATTCCTTCTTTCTCCAACAAGTGGATGATATCTGGGGCTATTTTTCGAGTAAGAAGTAACTTGAAGTTCTTTGGAAACGCACTGGGTTTGAACTAAAAAAGGCCGGTTTTAATACCGCGCCTATCAACCGCTACATCTGAAAGCGTGTCCTATTCCAAAATATCTGTCAACGTTTTTATAGGTTCGTCTTTGTGAGGACCGTCGCACCAAGAGACAATACGCGGTAAAGCAGATAATTGAACCTGACCCAAGCAGTGTGGAAGAGAAAGTATTGAGCTTAGCCTCGTCCAATCCTTTCATAACAAGACTTTGTGAAGAAGTTGAGAACCCGGTATGATACTTTTCAAAATTGTACAAACATTTTTCCTCCTTCTACCCCCGGTATAAACTCCCACTCCCGCCCGTCCGCCCATGTGGAAAAAACGGCCGGTCAATTACATTTATAGCATACCGACATCTTGACGAACGTGAAGGAAATCAGGGGACTACAAGCCTTCCCAAAGATTGTGAGTTATACCTGTGCTATAAGGCTTGAGTGAGGCGTTTGTGGTCGAGCGTTTAACACCTCAAACTCTGGATCTGAAGGTCCGAGGTTCAAGCCTAGCCAGTCGCGTTGTTTCCCAAGACAAGGAACTTTACTCCACTTTGTCTCTCTTCACCCAGATGTATAAACGGGTGCCAGCGACATACTGCTGGGGGTGAACCCTGCGATGGACTAGCATCCCGTCCAGGGGCGAGAAGCAAAACTCCTAGGCTTGCATCATGCTTCGGAAACCGGTATAAACTCCGACCGTGTGGGTCTTTGGCTCGTGTACGCCTTTACCTTTTACCTATAACGGCTCCACTGGGCGTTTCTCTCTGTGCTTCATGATCTTTCTCAATTTTGCTCACTATAACCCAAAAGAAAATAGTATGTTATGGGTCAACTAATAGTTTCTTTGTATTTTCATATTATAGTACCCTGGCCATTTCATTATACTGGAGTTCGTTGAAGGAGGAGACCTTTTCACCGAATTGGATGAGAATGGATGGCTCAGCGAAAATCGAACTAGGTAATCATACTTCCATACCAAAGTTTTCGAGCTGCTGTTGAGAAAACAGTCTATAACGAGACAATGAAAGAAAACAGGACAGAATTTAACACATGTGGTCAAGTTTTCCTTCCATGGACTACCCCTGTGGACCACGCCTAATTTTCGTAGATGAATTTAACCAGAGGTCTAAACACATTTTTGGAACCTAAAATGGACGAAAATGTGGTCAGTTTTTATTTTCGGTGGTAGGGGCTCCGCATATTTTACACTCGCTTACTTTTTTTTCAATTCCATACCAATTGGATGGGTTCGTTTTAGTCTGGTGAAGGAGTCAACATATTTTAGAGGGGCAGAAGTATGGAGGAAGTAGTATCCTATGCAGTTTGTTTCGTGTTCCTGTTGTGTGAAAATCGAACCAAAAACAGCTGTGCATGAGACTAAGGACGAAATATTGTTTCTCCTCCCAGGCTTAACCAAACCCATGATTGGAATTCAGGAAAAATTGGAGCAAGTGTATAATATGAGGAACCTTTAATCCTGATAATAAAGACACAGTTTCATCCATTTAAGGTTCCAAAATTTCGTTTAGACCTTTAGCTGCTAAAGATTCAGCTTCAAAAATTAAGGGTGGTCCGCGGGAGTAGTCCATGGACCGGGTCCACGAAGAGGTCCACGGACTGGGTCCGCGGAGATGGTCCATGGACCGGGGGTCATGTTTTGTATGCGTCCATATACGCTTAGTCATTCAACAAAGCGTCAGTTACAGTTTCGTTAGGAATCGAACTATGAACTATAAGCTATCAATTGAGGTCATTTAATCTTGCTAATGAGATGTAGTATTTTACTTAAAACATCATATTGCTTGTCTTTTTTTTTAGGTTTTACACTGCTGAGATCATCGCTGGATTGCAATTTCTACACCAAAAAGGTGTCATTCACAGGTGAGCAGAAATATGAGAAATAGCTGAAATTCACACTTGGTGGGTGATTTCGATCACTTGCGTATTAATATGGCAACGATGAAAAAAAACCAATGAATTGATACCGTCGGACCTTTATTTTGCGGCCTCCTAAACGGCCAACAGTTACGTACATCGGGCATCGTGGGGGGGGGGGGGGGGGGGGGGAGGGACAAAAATTGTCAGCCGTAAATCACATGACTGTAAAAAGTAGGTGATCGTTTGCTAGATCATTGTCTATCACGACGGGACTCAGCGCTCTCTAAGGTCCTTGTATGGGTGAAGAAAGTTAAATTTATAATTATGCGGCTATTTATCCCTTTTCCTCGAAGATTACAGTTGCATCTCTTTTGGCTCAGTTTGCTTAAAAATCAATGCCTTTAATATTTGCGTAAATTTTTATTTATCCTATGACAGGGACTTGAAACCTGAAAACATTTTGCTGACCAAAAATGGGCACATCAAAATCAGTGATTTCGGATTGTCCGCTATCATCGATCCAGTTACACAGGAAAAGATTATCAACGCAGAAATTATCGGGACACCTCTTTACATGGTTCCTGAGGTAAACCATGGTACTGTAGCGTTAGTTAAGGGGGAAGTATGGTTAAAAGCATTATTTTTCGTTGATTTCCACCACTTCTCCTAAATATCATTCAATCAAAAAATGACTCAATTATGTTGCAGTCCTTAATTCACAATTATTTTTGAATTTTTGGATGATTTTTCGAATATTTTTACCCTATAAAATTTAGGGGGGAAGATGTTTAAAATTTTGGGAAAATGGGAAAATATTGGATTTGGGAGTTGTTAAAAATTGAAATATGAAGTTAATAATTAGTAGACAATTACCAGATAGTCCACCACCACAACAAGGTGCCTCTGATCCCATTAGCGGAATAACTGGTACACCTATTCTAACCTAATCAACATCATCTCCCAAAAAACAAACCGTAATTCCCCCTTAAGCCCTGTGAACCAAGTGTCTAAATCAGTTTCTCGTGTAGCTTCTTGGTCAATAACTCAGTATTTTATCCCACATCTATGACCCATTTCAGAACCACCATTCAAAATATCCCTGGGCCTGATATCCTGCTTTTTACTTACTGAATCAGTGCTGATAATTAACGCTAAAACAAATCTTTATACAGGCTATTAAATACGATGTTTTCTTGTACGAGATCAGATATGTTACAGGTTAAATTTGGTTTCAGGTTAATTTTGATTTGAGCTAGCTTGGTTAAATCTCAATTTTCTTTGTATCCTCGCTCTAATTCATGAATAATTAGGGACATGAAACAAAGTAAATAGAGAACCAACCTACGTTAAATAATTTTAACCTGAATATAATTTTGACCTGTAACATATATACTAATGTTAGATACACTGGAAGAAGGAAGAGCTGTTCAGTTTCCACAAAGCTAACAATACACGACATGATCTACTCATTAAAAAAATCACAAACCTCGTAGTAAGATCTTTTGCTTAGGAGAAGCTCGACTTGTTTTCATGGAATAACATCTTATCGTGCTGATGTTAGCTTAGTGCAAGGTGTTATTTGTTGCAGATTATTTTACAGGACCCATACGACGCATGTTTGGACTGGTGGGCTCTTGGAGTCATGGTGTTTACGATGCTCACTGGAATGGTTTGTATTTCAAATGTTATTTCAGTTATCTTGTTCTTAACACGAAATAGGTGAAACTGAACTTAGACTATGATGATGGTAACCTACTTAGTTAACAATGTTATCCTTTGTGTGTACATTTCAGATGCCGTTTGATGCTGAATCGGAGGATGAGTTATTTGATTTGATCGTATATGACTACCCACAGAAACCGGACAAAAAAACATTGTCTGAGCTGTCCATTGACGCCACTGAATTGTTCCTACACGTAAGTGTCAAATACATAAATCATACATGAAAGGTTATATTCCCTTATTTTTTTACATGTTCCAAAATTATTTATTGTCAGTCGATATCAATAGAGGCCACACTTGGTGAAAAAGTCCAAAGATTGACTCCCTTCTCCCCGGGGTAACTGCTCCCCATAACGGATTATACAGGAAGGCTGCTCCACCAGAAAGGGTTTCCTTTTTTAGGATTCAGGTATATTGAAGGGTAGAGAAATCTTTTTTATGTTGGAATGAGTGAAGAACAAATATGACTAGACTAAAACTAGGTCAACGTTAACTTCCGTTACGGAGTATCATAAAAGCCTAACATTTCAATAAACAAAGGTCTCTGAGTTGAGATTAAATACCGGTATTACAAGACATATCACATTTTTTGGATGTTTTCAGTTACTAGCGAAATATCCACAAGACCGTCTCGGGTATAAAGGAGGCGATTACCCCTGGATCAGAGATCATGCTTTCTTTCACGGCTTTGACTGGAAGAGACTGGAGGCATTGGAACTCGACCGCCCACCTTGAAACTAAGGTTTGTTTCCTCAAAATCCTTACACATGGGGAAGTTAACAGAATGATATGTTTAAAAAAAACCTCGGGTTTTATTTGCGTTTTTTCCTTCCGATCCCCGAAAATGCAGGGTGTGGAGTTGATTTGTCTCAAAAACTCGTCGTCACTAGGTGTTAAGCTCTTTATTTCACAGGGGCACTTAACGAAGGTTTCCTCTTACATACATTAGTAACACTTTTTAGACTAGCATCATTTAGTCGGACAGGACACTAGAGTAGATCGAGGAGAACCCAAAATTTTTATGTCGTGCCTCATATTTCCTACTATACTGTTGTAATGCCAGGGGTTCTTAAAACTAACCCTTGTTGTTTTTCTTAAAGGTCTGGAATTATGATCAGTACTGGAAACAAGACATTTTTACATGATGATCAGTGTTGTGTGTTGTTCGGCAAGAGAACGACGTTTGTAAAATAAAGGCTTTTCACTTTGTATCCAATAGTCGTTTGTTTCTTTTTAGAGTTCACTTCCAAAGCGTTGTTCCATAAATGATTCCCAACCTTAGTTATGTTTTAAAGCTTTAACACACCCAGCTAACACCCTAAAAGCGACAGTTTCGGTGTGTTCTTCGATTTTACTAGCGAACAGCGTTTGGTCACTTGACGATTCTAAGCTATGTCAGCTAACGAAACCGCAATTTGAATATGACGAAATTGTGCCTCCAATCTTGAAATCTTGCTGGCAAGAGCTTGAACTTTTCTTAATGTTACTGGCAAGATGATGAATTTTCAAAATCCTTCCTGCAAGAACTTACATGTGAAATATCTTACCGCATTGAAATCGTGCCAGAAAGATCTTGAAATTTTCCAAAAATTGCTGACCAGATCTAAAACCCAGACGATCGATCCTGGACGCTATGGATCTCTTGTAACACTCGAGTCCACACTCAACTGAGGATAATTAAGTTGCACCTCAGCAGCAGACATTTCTCTTCGTAAGACATCTCCCTTTACTTTGTACGGTCTTGCTTAGCCCCGACTGTTTTTCGAACGCTTTTCCTTACAACAGTGTGTTTTTAACGCTTTCCTCACATCATTTGTTCGTATGGTATTAGTATTCTTTTCTTTTTAACGTTTTTCCTTCGCGAGTTTGTTTGTATAGTGTTTGGTGCTGTCTTTTATTAGAAGAAAAATATCTCGTGGAAGGAAAATGTTACAAACAGCTAGTAAGCTATATATGGTAGTCAACAATGCACCTCCTCAGTTCCTTCCCCACCCCCCGGACAGCATTGAAACAATTAACATTATTGTATACTGACCCACAATTTCTTTGATCGTTTAACAATGAATTGGGTCAGCACTGCTTTTGCGAACGTTACTTGTGAATCACATAGAACTGCTGACATGCTTTTACTGTCTCAAGGACATTTGTCCAGGATTGTAGATATGTTTTTTTGATACTGAACTCTCCAACGCAAAAGAGGATAACATTGCTGCCTATTTTCTACACATGGGAGGGCTGCAAGAGGAAGCCCGACTACTACATAAACAAAAACACTGCTGCAGTTTAGAGGATATTGAAAGTTGTAAGATTGAGATATCTGGGCCCGGTTCCTTGGAAGATGATTAGGTTTAATCTGGGATTAAGGCAGATTTTAAGCATGGTTTTCTTGTCCAAGAACATGTTAATCGAGCTTACAAAATGCTGTTGTGTCTTTACTTCGAAAAAAAGAATGGATAACACCATACAAATAGTGGGACAAAATTTTAACCCCCATTAGCGCTAATCGGCCTTTCAGGGACCGGGCCCCGGTCTTTTGTTTTTGTTTGGTTAATATAAGCCTACTGCTTTTTTGCCGTTCTCGATCGTTGCCGTCGCCGTCGTCATTGCTTTTGAGCTTTAAAAAAGCTCCTAATAGCGTTCGTCAGTTGTGAACCAAAAATCCCGGAGGGTACTTCCTTACATTTGCCTTACGCTTGGTATAGGGTAAGGATTTGGAAAGTCAGACGGCCGCCCCCACCACAGATTGCTATGAATACCGCCCCCACCCTCTCCCCAGGGAAAAATTCCAAAGTACTTTATGAACTGGGCTCGTCACAGGCAGCCCAGTAAATAAAATAAAATGTTAAATTGGTTGACACTACCAACCTTCATTCAGGAGACAAAAATGGCTGCGAAGGACACTTTTTGCATATAGACATTGATAACAAAGACTGCAGCCAATAGACATGCTGTATCGTCTGGCGGTCAAACGGGTTTTGGGGCGCAAGCAAGGGCGAGACACCCGAGTCGAGAGGAAGGAACTGGAGACAAAAAAAAATTGTCTGTTGTGTAGGCCGGGTTTAAGGCAAGGATGGCTTGGTTGGGCCATCTTTTCTAGGGTTTTCCGGCTATCACAAAAAGCCGCGAAAAAGGGGGAAGCATTTTCTGCAGGGCCCACCCCGCTGCCCCCTCCCCAACCTCTCGACGACTCGACCAAGTTGTGCGCAACATTTGGCGACCGCGTGTTTATTTTGGCTACTGGGAACAAACATAAAATTCAAAGATGGCGCGACGCAGATCCCTTCCAGGATGTTTTTGTATTTTTCGACATCAAGGTTTGTAGCCATTATTTTGCATGATTTAAGAGGAAATAATTTAATTCAACAGTCTTTTGTTGCCTTTTTTGTTTCTTTTCTTACTGACGTTTTGATAGGAAGTTGTTTTTTACCCCAACAATTTTCAGCGGCACGTATGAATGTGCCTGCCCGTATAATTGTTACACGTGCGGTGCATTATAGCATATTGTTTAACCCAACGGTAGTCCAAAGATTATATTTATATGATATATTTTCCCCCAGCAGCATTAAACTGTTCTAATTTGACCATATTATTCTTAACCGAAATGTTTTCTTAAGGGCTTCTAAAGGGTAGGGTTGGGAGTAACCCCAGGGGGGTAGCCTGCGAATACAGCCGTTTCTCGGTGCTTCTATCTCGCCGCTAGGTACGTTTCGCGGGAGAAATGTCTGCGTCTCAACAACAGAAGTGCCATACTGATGACTTAAGGGGTAATTACATGAGACCGGGACAAACTCAAACTGGTATGAGTTCATATCGGTCTCCATACATTTCTTTCCATACGTTTACTGGGCTAAAAATGAACTCAGACCGGTCTGACTGCATGTTGGTCACTAACCTGACACAAGTTACTTTCTTCCCGGTCTGAAACTGTACTGTTCTCATGTAAAACGGAAACGGATCTCAGACCGGGTCCATAATAGCATGTTTCTTCATATAGCTTCATCATTTTTGCTTTTTCTTAGCAAAATAAGAACACTGTCATGAGTAACTGTAGACAAGACTTGGAAGTAGCTTCAATTGAATATAATAATAATGATGATGATGATGATCGTTTATTCAATGTTTTTGCAGCATAAACTGAATACAAGGCGGGTCATTAATTACATACAAATACCTCGGAATTATGACACGTAAACATAACTGTTAATGTTAAGACATATCACATTTTGCTATTTTAAATGTGATTCTAGTATTTGATGGTGCAAAAATTTCCAAATCTGTTAGTTCTAGAGGAGGCAGGCACAAAAACAGATTCTCCTGTTCTAAGAGCATACGGTCTTGTGTGCACAACTCGCGGCACTAAGCTTCGTAGCAGGTCGGAAGAAGAGTAACTTCGCTTGAGAAATGTTATGCATGCATCCTCCCTCCTCTGGCGCAGCAAAATTAAGCCTGATTTCTTAAGCGCGTCCTCATAGCACAGAGAAGGAAAAATAATTTTTAGCGCCCTCTTTTGTATTGATTCAATTTGATCACTTACCGTATTTATTCGACTATAAGCCGATCTTGGCTATAAGCCGAGACCCCAAACTTTGAACGTGAAGACTCGGCATAACAAGAACCAAAAATAAATCGAAAACACCCAGCTATAATCTGAGACCCATTCATTATTATTATCATTATAATTCACTTCAGTTTTAATTTGTGTAAAAATCGCTCGGCTTATAGTCGAATAAATACGGTAAGTATTGCGTGAGGCCAGCCCAAGCGGGACTCGCATACTCCAAAACAGACCTGATGATACTACGATAGACAAGAATAAGCTGCCTATCAGTTAGTCCGCACTTCTTAAGGGCGCGTATTGCATATAACCGCTTACTCCCTTTCTTTACAATATGAGTGACATGCTCGTTCCATGTTAAGTTATCGGACAAGTGAACCCCTAACAGCTTGTAACAGGAAACCTTTTCTATCAGAGAGCTACCAACCAGTAGAGGTGCTAGGGGAAACAGGCAATACTGCAAAAAAAAAAAAAAAATGTTTCAGTTAATGTGACGGATTGCACCATTTTGACATGCTGTGCATTTAACATGCCACCAGATGAGGGTTAGATAACATTTACAATTTTCTGGAAGCAGTAAAATCTATGGTTCTCTAGCCACTCTCTTAACTGGCCTGAATTGTGTACCAGTTAGGACAGTCAGTGAATAATATGTTAAATAATTGACTTAAATGGCTGCGAAGGACACTTTTTGCAAATAGACATTGATAACAGAGACTCCAGCCACTGGACATGCTGTATCATCTGGCAGTCAGACAGGGTTTGGGGCGTGAGCAAGGGCGAGACATGCAAGTCGAGAGGAAGGAAAAGACAAGAAAAAAATTTGTCTGTTGTGTAGGCCGGGTTTAAGACAAGGATGGCTTGGTTGGGCCATCTTTTCTAGGGTTTTCCAGCTATCACAAAAATCCGCAAAAATCTGCAGGGCGTACCCCCCTCCCCCCTCCCCAACCTCTCGACAACTCGACCAAGTTGTGCGCAACATTTGGCGACCGTGTGTTTATTTCGGCTACTGGGAACAAACATAAAATTCAAAGATGGCGCGACGCAGGTCCCTCCTAGGATGTTTTTGTATTTTTCGACATCAAGGTTTGTAGCCATTATTTTGCATGATTTAAGAAGAAATAATTTAATTCAACAGTCTTTTGTTACCTTTTTTGTTTCTTTTCTTACTGACGTTTTGATAGGAAGTTGTTTTTCACCCCAACAATTTTCAGCGGCACGTATGAATGTACCTGCCTGTATAATTGTTACACGTGCGGTGCATTATAGCATATTGTTTAACCCAACAGTAGTCCAAAGATTATATTTATATGATATATTTTCCCCCAGTAGCATTAAACTGTTCTAATTTGACCATATTATTCTTAACAGAAATGTTTTCTTAAGGACTCCTAAAGGATAGGGTTGGGAGTAGCCCCAGGGGGGTAGCCTGCGAATACAGCCATTTCTCGGTGCTTCTATCTCGCCGCTAGGGATATTTCGTGGGAGAGACGTGTGCCCCTTAACAACAGAAGTGCCATACTGATGACTTAAGGGGTAATTACATGAGACCAGGACGAACTCAGACTGGTATGAGTTCATATCGGTCTTTCCATGCGTTTACATGGGACCGGCCTAAAAATGAACTCAGACCGGTCTGACTTCATGTTGGTTGCTAACCCGGCACGAGTTACTTTCGTCCTGGTCTGAGAATGTACCGTTCTCATGTAAAACGGAAACAAATCTCAGACTGGGTCCATAATAGCATGTTTCTTCGTATGGCGTGTCCAATAGCCTGGGGCTAGTGGATTTTACTATAGGGCTAGTGAATTCTGTCCTTACCTTGCCCACCTGGCAAGTGAAATTTTTAAGGAATTCTAATCACAAAAGAACTGTTATCAACCTTGCTCATCTTTGGGCTAGTTAAAATAACTTTTGGGCTGGTACATGCTAACAACACCTTTCCCAAATGGCAAGCTGTAAAACTGACTTTCTTCTACACCCTGCCGGAATCTGTTCAGGAGCTCTGATTGGTCGATTTAGTAAATTAAATAAAGTCAACCCCCAATAACTCAAATCTTTTAGAGAAATCAAAAAAGGTTCAAGTTATCAGAAGTTTGAAGCAAATAAGCAAAACAGGGGAGGGAATGTAAGTATAGTGCACTTTCACAATGGACAATGAATATGAACTGGAGTGACAACAAAAGTAAAGACAAGGAATTGACACAGTTGTTTTGAAATAAATTCAGTGTTTCGGACTTCAGTACAGTGTTACACCATCTATTTTTTTTGACATGTCATGTGTTCAAAACATGTTTTGAGTTATCAAGGGTAAAATTATGTACCATAGTACCTGAAAAAAGGAGCATATATCACCATCTTCCTAGCATACCTTGTGTCTATTTCGGGGTGATTGCTTCTGGTCTGTGTGATGAAAACATGAATTTTACTTAGTTTCAGAGAAATTTCCACTGCTTTGAGGATGAGATATGAAGGTAAATTAGGTCTTAGCGTAATTTCTCATCTTTCATTAGGAGAACAGAATGATCTCTTGATTAAATTATCCTGTTTTCTGATTTGACCGTGTGACCTTTCTCTTGTTATATGTCACTGCTTATCTGTTTTATGCACGGTGAAGCTGACGGTGTTTTTGAATAATTCATTTAGGTAATTAAATGAGGAGTCGATTGAGAATTGAGACAGAAATCCACTCGCTGCACGCCTTGTAGCTGGGCAACCTAGGGCTGCGCACATTCGCCCCGTCCTTAAGGAGCTACACTGGTTATCTGTGGAGCAGCGAATTACCTTTAAAGTATTACTGTTAACTTTTAAAGCTCTCAATAATCTGGCGCCTCCATATTTAAGTCAACTTATAGTCCCATATAACCCGTCAAGAAATCTTAGGTCAGCTAGCAAACATTTAGTAGAAGTACCGAATGTGCACCTGAAGAGCTATGGGGACAGGGCCTTTTTGGTCGCTGCCCCAAAGCACTGGAATGATATTCCCTTGGACATTAAATTAAGTGGATCAGTTGATTTTTTTAAATCTAGATTGAAAACTTATCTTTTTAGACTGGCTTTCAACTGACTTTTTGTCTTGGCACTATTGTTAGTTAGTTATTTTCTTTTTTTGATTGTAAAGCGATATAGAGCTTTTGTATATACCGCTATACAAATAAAGTTATTATTATTATTATTTATTATTATCTCTAGTAAGCCCCCTCAAATCGGGTTGAAATAAATAAGCCCCCTCCCCCTGAGGGGGGGGGGGGTCTAAATAGAGGATTAACCGTGAACACTAATGAAATACCAGGTGAGCTTTCGCGCAAAAACATGATATCTTTACACATGAAAATGACGTGTTATTTTCACATATCACCATTGCTATGGCTACATAATAGATCGTGCCTTTCACAGCAAAAAAAATATTGAAGTGAAATATGGTTTGGTATTTCACATGGCCATGCAGTATCCTCTATTTCTTTAATGAACTAGACTTATAGCTATTGACTATTATCTATCTATATCTTTCTCAGAACCCATGGATGCCGATGGGGACTGGCTTGATCAAGCCATAGTGCTAGGCAGGGAAGAAGATAGGCAGGAAGAAGAAAGGAGGAGAAGAGAAGAAGAAGAAGAAGAAGAAGAAGGAGAGAGGAGGAGAAGAGAAGAGGAGGAAGAGAGGAGAAGAAGAGAGGAGAAGAAGAGAAGAAGAAGAAGAAGAAAGGAGGAGGAGGGAAGAAGAGAGAAGAGGAAGAGAAGATGAAGAGAGAGAGAGGGAAGAAGAGTGGAGAGGAAATGGAAGGAGAGAACGAGGAAGAGGAAGAAGATATGAAAGCGTGGGCAGGCAAAGCGCAACTGAGAGAAGGAGCCAGAGAGATGATGAAAGGGGTAAGAGAGAATAAAATTAATGATGTAGATTATTAGACTGTGGTTAATGATGGTTAACTCCATTCGTATCAAATAATGTAAATGCGTTCCATCTATTGTGTCAGAAAAATTATTAATGATCAACAAACTATCAGAAACTATAATAGGACTAATGGTCAGTGTAGCTGATTTCTGTTTCAAATGTGAAAGTCACAGAAAATCTAATATGCATCAAGAGAGAACATTATGCAGGACCATGCGAGTAGTGTCTAGATCTGGAGTTCAGGGTGGACGATCTAGTCAGCATATTTTATATTTTTATCTTAGCATTTAACTACAGTCAGCTGTCGATAATTCAAACTTTCTAGGGTTACAAAAATGTTCAATTCTGTCTAATTTCCATAAATGCCTTTTTTTCTTTACCGAAAACATCTCTTGTTCATTTAACTTTGTTTTTTTCTTTTTTTCAGTCAGATGTCACAAGTGTAGGAAGCTTGGGCACAGACATGCCCAGTGCCCTGAAAAAACCAAACCAGGGGAACCTAAGAAAATTATTAATTATTTTTATTTTAATGGAACTCTGGATAATGGAAAATTTCAATAAATTAATGAAATTTTGCATTATCAAGATGGTTACTACTGTATTTGCTTGAGTACTCTGCCCAAAGACAATGCAAAATGTCAAGATAAATAAACAATCTTGGGTTGAATTAACAGTGTAATGTTTCAACATGGTGGCAGATAGTCTGAATGGTAGAGTGTTTCACGGAAATATGGTCATAACCTTTTAGAATAGACCTTTTGATCTTTTATCAAATTATCGTAACAAATTTAAAAATAAATAAATAAATAAATAATCCAAAATTTCGGACTTAAAAAGGTTATACTTTCGATTTCCAGCTGACTGCATGGTATTGACATTTTCAGTATGATTTATATTAAACTTAGGGTGCTTTCCATTTGTCAGAGCTGACCGGCTAACCCATTCCCACCCAACGTATCTTAATCGAAACTAACCATCCAGATCAGTCAAATCCTTTTCGTTTAGTGCAATGTTGCTAAGAAAGATTCAGTTAAGCTCATTTTTGGGTCGACAATTTGTCAGATTGGTTGACCCGAAAATGAGTTTTACAAATCTTTCTAAGCAACATAATTGCAAAAAAAGATAAAGATAAAATAATATTTTGGACTTAAAAAGGTTATACTTTTGATTTCCAGCTGACTGCATGGTATTGACTTTTCAGTATGATTTATATTAAACTTAGGGCGCTTTCCATTTGTCAGTAATGAGAATGTCACTTTTAATCAAAACTAACCATCCAGATCAGTCAAATTCTAAATATTATGCACAAAGGAGATGGTTTTTCAGCAAAATCTCAAGCAAGACCTCTAACACCACTTTTCGCATGATGAAACGTATTTTTGTAAATAAAGTGGTCCTCATGTTCTTGGAGTTACAACTATTTTAATGGATTCCGCTTTGTTGATGTAAACATAGATTCTGCAGAAATTGTTTTACCTGAGAAACCCTTTTAAAGGATTGGTTGCAAACGTTCATTGTTTTATTCAGAGCCTTGTGCAAAAGGAAGCGAGTCTCAAATTGCTGAAGTTAATAATGCCAATGGGCATGTAGCACCTGCTCGGAAGAGAACTCGCCAATGCCTAATCCTGACGCCAAACAATACTAAAACAATTGGAAGAATGACTTGTCATTGTTTCCTGCGACCAATTAGGAGAGACTTAACGAGCAGCTTCTACACTGCCCATGCCAATGCGTGCTTTGTTCATTGTTTAAGTGCATTTATCTGCTCTAGCCATTTTGCAGGCACTGCTTTCAAATCATCACGGGCAAGTACCTACCACGTATACGTTAAAAGAAGTAGACACATGATAGAGCCCTGTGGGAGACGAAACCAAAGTTCAAAGATTTCGAAATACGATCGGAGCCCCAACTCTGGCCCCGTGAACACCCCGATAATATGGACAGCAGCTAATTCCCAGGCAAAGATATATTACAAGACCCAGTTGTTGGAAAGCCGATTAGCGCTAACCCATGGACAAATTTTAACCCAGGTCCTAGTTCTTTAAAGGCCGATTAACGTTAACCCAGACCCGGTTTTCTCTCTCTTTTGTTTAAAAGCATTTTCTTGGATAATTTTCCCTTTACTTTTAGAGCATCCAATCATCAATTCTGGCATATTTCGCACTAACCCTGGGTTATCTTAACCCCGCTTTGAACAACCCGGCCAGACATCTGTCTGAAATAAACTCCCGCCATTAGGGACATCTCGCTAATGGAGGTCCCTACAGCGTCCGCTATCAAGGAAGATGACTATAAATCAGAAACTACTCAATCAAAAACTTCCCACAGACAAGAGGCAAACAGCTGTTACTTGCAAGCGTGACAGGAAACAGCCGCCCTCTCATCGCTCCCCGCCACTAACAAGGTTCTGCAAGCGATCGTGCCCATAAAGAAACATCCCCAGCGGCAGAGTGCTCAGAGGCTGCTGAAAACAAGACGCACTGCCGTACCTCACCTCCCCTCTGCTATGCATAAGACCTGTACACTTTGTCAATGAGATTACAAGACACAGGTAAGAAGAGGAAAGGGTTCGGGAGTTTATTAGGAAAAAAACTTAAGACCTTACGTAATAAGTACGCTCACAAAATGAAGTAAACGTTTTCCGTTCGTCAGCTTTGGAACAGAGGTTCTTTTGCTCGCGCGCGGTAAATGTCTATTATGACGCCATTTTAAAGAACAGAGTTGGATCTTTCAGTATGCAGATCTTTCGTTGAATGCTACGTACAGATCAGCGATGAAGGCCGGTCCAGTTATAGGGCCCTTTGTTTTTTCCTTTTATATGTTACAAAGCGTTTTTCAGTATTTCAAAGGAAAATGTAGTGGAAAAAGGTAAGAAAGTATCTTCTTGCTTTTCTTTTGAAGACAAAGAATCCTTTTTTCGCGGTTAGAGTTAAAAGCAGTTTCAAGGCCAATTGAGATGAGGCGCCTGTTGATCAGTTTCAATAAAAGGATAATGCAACGAGGACAAGCTACTAAAACATTTAAACAAAAGAAGGAGAACTATTCCTGAAGCAGTATTTAGAAACTTGTTTTTTAGATAAAAAAGATCGTGCAACTTTCGGTAATTTTTTACTTTTTGGTATTTACTATAAGTTGTCGGTTTTCGAAAACAAAAAACGTCGTCCATGGTAACCGTTTGTAATAATCTTGGTGCTGACCTAAAGGAACGCAGTGTTTGTGAGAGCCTGCGTTCACTTTGGTCAGCAGCTGAGACGCAGACTCGTTCCCAGCGTTCCCAGTCGTCGGAAGATCGCGCTCCATTCCAAGCCTCCTCGTTTTATTTGGATAGCGCGAACTGACCTGAGGGCGAGGCTAGCTGGGGCGTGAAATAGGAGTGCGCGCGCGTGCTGCCTCACGCAAGCAAATAAGGTTTTTACTTTGTCAGTGAGATTACAAGACATTTCTAGTGCATCAAATTTTGCATTTGAAACTTAAAGCTATTTTAAATCAAATATGAACTATAGCTAATTGTGTTGTGTTTATTTTTATTATCAGAGAATTTGCAACGGGTGAACTTAAAATTCAAGAATTAACGGAAAAAGCGCCAGTGAAAATAGAACAGGAAAGTCAAAAAGTAAGCTTATGTTTACTGCATGTTATGAACATTTCACTTTAAGTTATTCTTGCAAACAAGTTTTTGTGCCATTCATTAACTCCCTTATTGGATTATTGACTGTGTGTGGGCCTGTCGTCTGCAATAAGGCTTAGAAATGTTGAATATTTATGAGGTTTTTGGAACTTTACGGTCCATGTAAACAAATAAAACGGGAGAAAGTAAATAAAATAATTATGAAAGCAGTCGATATCAGTTATAAATCTATTCTCTCCCATTTTGAAGTTTCATTTACAAAACTACACACTTTCAAGTTATATATAGTAAAACGCCAAGTCCTGTTCAATACTCATTTCATAGTCTGATTTATAACTTATTTCATTCATCTTGATTGACTAGTGCCCTGTTAAACGTAGAAGATCAGAAGAGCAGTTAGACAACATTAAGACAAAGAAACAAAGAAAGTCGATCTCACTGTATAAACTTAAAGCTGTCAAGATGATTGGTGAGGGAGCGTTTGGAAAGGTGAGAGACTGTCATAAGGATCAAACAATAATCACAAACGATTCGTAATATTAATTTTCACAAAATTTAAAGTAATTTTCGGCGCATCACTGCGCTACAGCGGCCAGTATTTCGTGGTAAAAAAACTAGCGATTTATCAATTACTTGATTAATTATTTAGATAAATAATTATCTATTTATTAATTTCTAAAGAAGTGGAAAGGCTTTGTTTTCTTTGTTTTTTCTTTGTTTTCTTTCGTTTTTGCGAGGTGTAGGCTCTTTTAATTACCAAATAAGCGATCAAAGGTGAATATGATATACACACTGTGTAATTCCTTCTTTCTCCAATAAGTGGATGATCTCTGGGGCTGTTTTTCCAGTAAGAAGTAACTTGAAGTTCTTTGAAAAAAGGCCGGTAAGACTGCGCCTATCAACCGGACCATCTGAAAGTTTGTTCAATTCCAAAATATCTGTCAACGTTTTTATAGGTTCGTCTTTGTGAGGACCGTCGCACCAAGAGACAATACGCGGTAAAGCAGATAATTGAACCTGACCCAAGCAGTGTGGAAGAGAAAGTATTGAGCTTAGCCTCGTCCAGTCCTTTCATAACAAGACTTTGTGAAGAGGTTGAGAACCCGGTATGATACTTTTAAAAATTGTACAAACATTTTTACTCCTTTTACCTCCGCGTTAAACTCCCACTCCCGCCCGTTCACCCATGTGGAAAAAATGACCGGCCAATTACATTTAAAGCATACCGACATCTTGACGAACTTGCAGAAAAACAGGGGACTACAAACCTTCGAAAGATTGTGAATTATACCTGTGCTATAAGGCTTGAGTGAGGCGTTTGTGGCCGAGCGTTTAACACCTCAAACTCTGGATCTGAATGTTCTAGGTTCAAGCCTCGCCAGTCGCGTTGTTTCCCAAGACAAGGAACTTTACTCCACTTTGTCTCTCTTCACCCAGATGTATAAACGGGTGCCAGCGACATACTGCTGGGGGTGAACCCTGCGATGGACTAGCATCCCGTCCAGGGGGGAGAAGCAATACTCCTAGGCTTGCATCATGCTTCGGAAACCGGTATAAACTCCGACGGTATGGGTCTTTGGCTCGTGTACGCCTTTACCTATAACGGCTCCAGTGGGCGTTTCTCTCTGTGCCTCATTATCTTTCTCAATTTTGTTCACTATAACCCAAAAGAAAATAGTATGTTATGGGTCAACTAAAAACTTCTTTGTATTTTCATATTATAGTACCCTGGCCATTTCATTATACTAGAGTTCGTTGAAGGAGGAGACCTTTTCACTGAATTGGATGAGAATGGATGGCTCAGCGAAAATCGAACTAGGTAATCATACTTCCATATCAAAGTTCTTAAGCAACTGTTAAGAAAACAGTCTATAACAAACGTCACAATGAAAGAAAACACGACAGAATTTAACACATTTGGTCAGGTTTTCCTTTTAAACCGAATACCTAATAACGCTTCAGTAAGACACGTTCCATTAGTACTGGGTCGAAATCATCGTAAATTATTCTTGACCTACTCATCTTTTAACAACGACTGGTTCTATCAATTGAGTTCTACTCAATACATGTAACCTTAAAATTGAACTGAGGATGCAAAAACCAATAAAAAAAATAATTCTGTCAAAATAAGCGATCGAAACTTCACCTCACATACGTGGACGTATACAAAAAATGTACCACCTATGGACCAAGCCGATGGACCGCTTCGTGTACCGGGTCCATGGACTATCCCTGTGGACCACGCCTAATTTTCGAACATGAATTTGACCAGGGGTCTAAACAAAATTTTTGGAACCTTGAATGGACGAAAATGTGGTCAGTTTTTATTATCAGTGGTATGGGCTCATTATGTTTTACACTTGTTTATTTTTTTTCAATTCCATACTATTTGAATATAATGGGTTCGTTTTAGTCTGGCGAAGGATTCAACATATTTTAGAGGAGCAGAAGTAGGGAAGAAGTAGTATCCTACGCAGTTTTTTTTTGTGTTCCCGTTTGTTTGAAAATCGGCTGTGTTTGAGACTAAGAAAGAAATCGTAAGACGTAGTGTACTTAAAACATCCTATTGCTCGTCGTTTTGTTTTAGGTTTTACACTGCTGAGATCATAGCTGGATTACAATTTTTACACCAAAAAGGTGTCATTCACAGGTGAGTGAAAAAAATGAGAAGTAGCTGAAATTCACATTTGGTTGGTGATTTCGATCACTGACGTATTAATATGGTAAAGTTAAAAAAAACAATGAATTGATACCGTCGGACCTTTATTTTGCTGCTTCCTGAACGGCCAACAGTCACGTACAAAAATCGGGGCGGGCAAAAATTGTCAGCCGTAAATCACCTGACTGTAAAAAGTAGGTAATCGTTTGCTAGATCATTGTCTATGGTATCATGACAGGGCCTCTCTCCTCCGCAGAGGCCTCTTTGTATTGTAGGGAGGACTGGAGAGAGGGAAACAGAGAGCGAGTGGGGGACGATGGGAAGGGGAAAGAGAGAAGCGAGGCCTCGCTCCCGCTTTTTCCCTCTTCCCATCGTCCCCCGAGCGCTTTCTATTTTTTCATTATTGCTATTTTTACTGGGATACCCAGCGGGAGTCTTCGCAGAGTTAGGAGAGAGTGACAGGGCTCAGCGTTCTGTACAGTCCTTGCATGGTTGAAGAAAGTTAACTTTATAATTATGCGGCTATTTATCTCTGTTCCTCGAAGATTATGTCGCACCACTTTTGGCTTAGTTTACTTAAAAATCAATGTCTTTAATATTTGTGTAAATTTTTATTTATCGTATGACAGGGACTTGAAACCTGAAAACATTTTGCTGACCAAAAATGGGCACATTAAAATCAGTGATTTTGGATTGTCCGCTATCATCGATCCAGTTAAACAGGAAAAGATTTACAACGCAGAAATTATCGGGACACCTCTTTACATGGCTCCTGAGGTAAATCATGGAACTGTAACGTTAGTTAAGGGGAAAATATGGTTAAAAGCATTATTTTTGGTTGATTTCCCCACCTTTTCCTAAATATCTAGCCAAGATTTCATTCAATCAAAAAATGACTCAGTTATGTTACAGTCCTTCGAATGTTTTTATTGTATAAAAGTTAGGGGGGAAGATGTTTAAAATTTTGGGAAAATATTGGATTTGGGGGTTATTAAAAATTAAAATATGAAGTTAATAATTAGTAGACAATTACCAGATAGTCCACCACCACAACAAGGTGCCTCTGATCCCATTAGCGGAATAACTGGTACACCTTTTCTAACCTGATCAACATCATCTCCCAAAAAACAAACCGTAATTCCCCCTTAAGCCCTGTGAACCAAGTGTCTAAATCCGTTTCTCGTGTAGCTGCGTGGTCAATAGTATTTTATCCCAGATCTAGGACCCATTTCAGAACCACCATCCAAAATATCCCTGGGAAAATTTAACAGGGTTCTAACAAGGACAGCCCAATTATATTCTGTTAGGGTAGTTTCTGCTTTTTACTTACTGAATCAGCGCTGATAATTAATGCAGGCTATACAGGCTATACAGGCTATAAAATATGGGGTTTTCTTGTAAGAGATATATATCTGTTACAGGGTATAACTGTACTAATGTTACCTGCACTGGAAGAAGGAAGAGTTGCAAGTTCAGTTTCCACAAAGCTAACAATACACGACATGATCTACTCATTAAAAAATCACAAACCTCGTAGTAAGATCTTTTGCTTAGGAGAAGCTCGGCTTGTTTTCAGGGAATAACATTTTATCGTGCTGATGTTTGCTTAGTGCAAGGTGTTATTTGTTGCAGATTATTTTACAGGACCCATACGACGCATGTGTGGACTGGTGGGCTCTTGGAGTCATGGTGTTTACGATGCTCACTGGAATGGTTTGTATTTCAAATGTTATTTCAGTTATCTTGTTCTTAACACGAAAAAGGTGAAACTGAACTTAGACTATGATGATGGTAACCTTCTTAGTTAACAATGTACATTTCAGATGCCGTTTGATGCTGAATCGGAGGATGAGTTATTTGATTTGATCGTATATGACTACCCACAGAAACCGGACAAAAAAACAATGTCTGAGCTGTCCATTGACGCCACTGAATTGTTCCTACACGTAAGTGTCAAATACATGAATCATACATGAAAAGTTATATTCCCTTCATATTTTAAATGTACCAAAATTATTTATTGCCAGTCGATAACAATAGAGGCAAGACTTAGTGAAAAAATCCAAAGATTGACTCCCTACCCCCGGGGTAATCCCCATAACGGATTATACGGGGAGGCTCTGTCAGAATGGGTTACCTTTTCTAGGATTCAGGTATATTGAAGGGTAGAGAAATCTTTTTTATGTTCGAATGAGTGAAGAACAAATATGACTAGACTAAAACTAGGTCAACGTTGACTTCTGTTACATAAAAACAGCATAAAAACATAGCATTTCAAAAAACAAAGATTTCTGAGTTGAGAGTAAATACCGATATTACAAAACATATCACATTTTTCGGATGTTTACAGTTACTAGAGAAATATCCGCAAGACCGTCTCGGGTGTAAAGGAGGCGATTACCCCTGCATCAGAGATCATGCTTTCTTTCACGGCTTTGACTGGAACAGACTGGAGGCATTGGAACTCGACCGCCCACCTTAAAAAATAAGGTTTGTTTCCTCAAAATCCTTAAACAGAATGTTTAAAAAAGCTCGGGTTTTACCCGTGCTTTTTCCTTCCGATCCCCGACAATGCAGGGTGTGGTCATTGATTTTTCTCAAAAACTCGTCGTCACTAGGTCTTAAGCTCTTGATTTCACAATTCCTCCTACATACATTAGAAACACTTTTTAGGTTATCGAGGGTGCTTTTGGATCTCTAGAAATGTATTCAAAGCGGCTCTATCAAATTTGCATCTCTTCGGTCATCCTAGGGGAAATTGAATCTTTTTCGAAATTACAAGGCCTTCGGATTTAGTAACCCAAAAATCTTAGATAAAAGCTAACGTATTACGAAAGTGATAATTTTTGTGATTCCTTTCTTCATCACAATTTACGTTTTGAATCGGAAAATTTGGGGTTTCCTTTTTCTAGGAAAAATAGCCTAATCTGGCCGGCAGTGAAACGTGAAACATTAAACTTAGGGAATTTATTAGTTGAGCTTCGGAAATTGTACTTGATTAGAACGGTGATCTAGAAATGTTTATCTGTCCGTAAGTAAGAGAAAATTCTGGGAAATATTTGCTTCTCCGAACAGATAATTTACAGAAAACACTGAGTCGCTTGATATTCCCATAAGCCTTTAAAATCTTCTCAGTGTCGTTTATATGTTGTGCAGAAAAACCCGTATATAGCAGGCACCATCATTTAGTCGGACAGGACACGAGAGTAGATCGGGAAGAACCCAAAGTTTTTATGTCGTACCTCATATTTCCTACTATAGTGTTGTAATGCCATGCAGGGGTTTTTAAAACTAACCCTTGTTGTTTTTCTTAAAGGTCTGGAATCATGATCAGTACTGGAAACAAGGCATTTTTACATGATGATCAGTGTTGTGTGTTGTTCTGCAAGAGAACGATGTAAAATAAAGGCTTTTCACTTGGTGTACGGTAGTTGTTTGTTTCTTTTTTCAGCTCACTCCCAAGCGTTGTTCCCTAAATGATTCCTACCCTTAGTTATGTTTTAAAGCTTTATAAAATCCAGTTGATGTAAAAAGTACTTTGATTAGCATGCACTGCTATAGCTTGTTTCGAAACGTTTCTTCCTTTCCGATTATTAAAGACCCGCTGGTATAAGCCCCTCTGTTTATAATCCTTTATGACCTCTCCTAAAACACCCTAAAAGCGTTAGTTTCAGTATTTTTTTCGATTTTACTAACGAACAGCGTTTGGGCACTTGACCAATCTAAGCTATGTCAGCTAACGAAATCGCAATTTGAATATGATGAAATTGTGCCTCCAGTCTTGAAATCTTGCTGGCAAGAGCTTGAACTTTTCTTAATCTTACCGGCAAGATCCCGAATTTTCAAAGTCCTTTCGGCAAGATCTTAAATTTGAAATATCTTACCGCCTGGAAATCGTGCTGGAAAGATCTTGAAATTTTCCAAAAATTGCTTACCAGATCTAGAACCCAGACGATCGATTCTGGACGCCGTGGATCTCTTGTAACACTCAACTACGGATAATTAAGTGTTACGATCAGATTAAGTGGCACCTCAGCAGCAGACATTGCTCTTCGTAAGACATCTCCCTTTAGTTTTCACGGTCTTGCTTAGCCCTGGCTGTTTTTCGAACGCTTTTTCTTACAACAGTGTGATTTTAACGCTTTCCTCACATCATTTGTTCGTATGGTATTAGTATTCTCTTCTTTTTAACGTTTTTCCTGCGCGAGTTTGTTTGTATAGAGTTTGGTGTTGTCTTTTATTAGAAGAAAATGTTACAAATAGTAAAATATATATGGTAGTTTAGAAACGGTGACCACTACCATACGAGAACACAAGATTTTACAATCGTGGATGAAAGTCTTGGGACAGGTTTACAGTCCTAACGCTTTTAATTTCGATTCAACACACGCCCAAAAAACTTTAGCGCGCGACTAACAATGTACCTCCTCAGTTCCTGCCCCACCCCACGGACAGTATTGAAACCATTACTGACCCACAATTTCTTTAATCGTCCAACATTGAACTGGGTCAGCACTGCTTTTCAGAACGTTACTCGTGAATCACATAGAACTGCTTATATGCTTTTACTGTCTCAAGGACTTTTGTCCTGGATTGTAGATATGCTTTTCTTGATACTGAACTCTCCAACGCAAAAGGGGATATTTTCTACACATGAGAGGGCTGCAAGAGGAGGCCCGAAAACTACATAAATAAAAACACTGCTGCAGCTTAGAGGATATTGAAAGTTGTAGGATTGAGAGATTTGGGTCCGGCTCCTTGAAAGATGATTAAGTTTAACCCAGAATTAAGCCAAATATTAAGCAAGGTTTTCTTGTCCAAGAACATGTTACTCGAGCTTACAAAATACTGTTGTGTCTTTACTTCGAAAAAAAGAAATGATAACACAAAATCTTACTCTAAGCAATGCATAGAAAGGTAAATACAAATAGTGGGACAAAATTTTAACCCCCATTAGCGCTAATCGGCCTTTCAGGAACCGGGCCCCGGTCTTTTGTTTTTGTTTTGCTTATATAAGTCTACTAGTTTTTTTGCCGTTCTCGTTGCCGTCGCCGTCGACGTTGCTTAAGCTCCCTAATAATTGATAGCGTTCGTTTTGTGAACCAAAAATCCCGAAGGGTACTTGCTTACATTTGCCTCATAGGTATTGGTCTAGGGTAAGGATTTGGAAAGTCAGACGGCACATCCCCACCACAGATTGCTAGGAATACCGCCCTACCCCCTCCCCAGGGAACAGATCCAAAGTATTTTATGAACTGGGCTCGTCACAGGCAGCCCAGTTAATAAAATAAAATGTTTAATTGGTTGACCCTACCAAACTTCATTCAGGAGACAAAAATGGCTGCGAAGGACACTTTTTGCAAATAGACATTGATAACAAAGACTCCAGCCAATGGACATGCTGTATCGTCTGGCGGTCAAACGGGTATTGGGGCGCGAGCAAGGGCGAGACACCCGAGTCGAGAGGAAGGAAAAGACAAGAAAAAAATTTGTCTGTTGTGTAGGGCCATCTTTTCTAGGGTTTTCCAGCTATCACAAAAAGCCGCAAAAAAGGAAGAAGCATTTTCTTCAGGGCCCACCCCCTTTCCCGCTGCCTAACCTCTCGACGACTCGACCAAGATGTGCGCAACATTTGGCGACCGCGTGTTTATTTCGGCTACTGGGAACAAACATAAAATTCAAAGATGGCGCGACGCTGGTCCCTGCCAGGATGTTTTTGCATTTTTCGACATCAAGGTTTGTAGCCATTATTTTGCATGATTTAAGAGGAAATAATTTAATTCAACAGTCTTTTGTTACTTTTTTTGTTTCTTTTCTTACTGATATTTTGATAGGAAGTTGTTTTTTACCCCAACAATATTCACCGGCACGTATTAATGTGTTTGCCCGTGTACTTGTACCCTGGTCCCAGAGGTTTTTCTTGATTTTTCTTCGCGAAAGAGATCAAGAGCAAACCGCGAAGCGGCGACAACGAGTCGCGAAAGCGACGAGGAGAGACAGAAAAACCTCTGGTTACCTTGACCTCGAATCTCACTTCCATGCAGACGACAGGGTCAGGATCTGACCCTCGGGCGTTGATTGGTTGATATTTTTTCAAACGCGCAAACCAATTTGATTGGCTCGTTTAATTGTAACTACCGAGGGGACGCTGAGGATTTTCACACCTCATTTTGCCTCTCTCTACTAGGGAAGAAAATTGTTTGTATGCTGCACTCGCAATAACATTTGCACGGGACCAAGGCACGTAGAGGCACGCCATGGATGTTGTTCCTGAAAGAATATTCGAAGAAATTTTGACCTCGGTACTCTTAATGAGCGCTTTCCCGAGTCTCACTGAGCAACAAAAGAAAGCTTTGTTCGCTGCGTTGAGTCGAAAGGATGTGTTCACCATTTTACCAACCGGACATGGAAAGTATATTTTCTGTTACAATACTGTCATTCCATTAAATAAACTAACTTGTTTAGGGCAGCAAAATAAAAAATCTCCGAATACGGAATGAAAGTTTCCTTGTAGGAAAAAAAAACATACAACTTTGTACAAGTGCGTAATCATTTTCGGTGCAGCTTGATTTTCCTGCGACGCCCAAAAAAGATCTAACCGACGCTATTTTTGGCATAGACCTATTCGGTTAACTCAATGTTGTACCCAATTCAAATCTCCCGGGGATAAGATTCTTTGTGTATTGCACTTGCATTATAATGTGGCATTCACATTTAAATGATATGGAAATTCCTGAAACAAAACGTTTTATTCCCAAAGGGTTTGAATTGGGTACATTGAGTTAGCCGAATAGGTCTATTGGGCCAACAAAAACCTCTGAAAGTACATTCCGAACCTTAAGGGTTTGTTGTGCTGCATGACTCTTCCTAGCGTCGCTGTTCAACAAAAAAAGGAAATGGAGCAACCAAACCAAAATGCGAGCCAGATTGCCAGAATACATATTAATATTACTATTTTCAGGGGAATGCCCGCGAATCGACGCGAACGGCGTGCCCCGCAGAAGTAAACAATGTAATAAGCGCGATTGATAGACTCTTGCAAACTTTACAACTTCCCGCTGGCACACTGCCGACAGAACAGATGACAATGTTTGTGAAAAATCCTTGTTATTATACCCAAATAAATTCTGCAAATCCTGCAGCATTCGTTTGGAACAATGTCGGTTTCTTTATAAAGTGGTCTTCTTATTCCTGGACTCTTGTCGCCCATTGTTAACACATGCTTTAGCTTGACCCCGATTAACAAATCACTCTTTACCACCCAAGTGAAGATGGTTTGTTCATAACATAATTTCCCCAGGTCTACCCCCACTTAAAAAAATAGCGGCTGATAAGCACGTGTTTGCTAAGTTGCCATTGGTCACTCTTTTTATTAGCAATTTGACGCGTTTGACAGCTGTTGTCTGCATGGAAGTGAGATTCGAGGTCAAGGTAACCAGAGGTTTTTCTCTCTCTCCTCGTCGCTTACGCGACTCGTTGTCG